AAACACAGACACAACATATCGGAATCTATGGGACACACTGAAAGCAGTTCTAAGAGGAAAATTCATTGCTTGGAGTTCATTCCTTAAAAAAAGAAAAAACCAACAAATAAATGATCTCATACTTCATCTCAAAATCCTTGAAAAAGAAGAGCAAAACAACAGCAAAAGAAGTAGAAGGCAAGAAATAATTAAAATCAGAGCTGAAATTAATGAAATCGAAACAAAAGAAACAATTGAAAAAATTGACAAAACTAAAAGTTGGTTCTTTGAAAAAATAAACAAAATCGACAGACCCTTAGCCATGCTAGCGAAGAGAAGAAGAGAGAGAACTCAAATTACTAACATACGGGATGAAAGAGGCAATATCACAACAGACACTTCAGAAATACAGAAGATAATCAAAAATTATTTTGAATCCTTATACTCCAATAAATTAGAAGATAGTGAAGGCATAGATAAATTTCTTAAGTCATATGATCTGCCCAGATTGAGTCAGGAGGATATAGACAACCTAAACAGACCAATATCAATTGAGGAAATAGAAGAAACCATCAAAAGACTACCAACTAAGAAAAGCCCAGGACCTGATGGGTATACAGCAGAGTTTTACAAAACCTTTAAAGAGGAACTAATACCAATACTTTTCAAGCTACTTCGGGAAATAGAAAAAGAGGGAGAACTTCCAAATTCATTCTACGAGGCCAACATCACCCTGATACCTAAACCAGACAAAGACACTTCAAAGAAAGAAAACTACAGACCAATATCTCTAATGAACCTAGATGCAAAAATCCTCAATAAAATTCTGGCCACTCGGATACAAAAACTTATCAAAAAAATTGTGCACCATGATCAAGTAGGATTCATCCCTGGGATGCAAGGCTGGTTCAATATACGGAAATCAATAAATGTTATTCACCACATCAATAGACTTAAAAATAAGAATCATATGATCATCTCGATAGATGCGGAAAAAGCATTTGACAAAGTACAGCATCCCTTTATGTTCAAAACTCTAGAAAAACTAGGGATAACAGGAACATACCTCAATATTGTAAAAGCAATCTATGCTAAGCCTCAGGCTAGCATCATTCTGAATGGAGAAAAATTGAAGGCATTCCCTCTAAAATCTGGAACAAGACAGGGATGCCCTCTCTCACCACTTCTGTTCAACATAGTTCTCGAAACACTGGCCAGAGCAATTAGACAGACGAAAGAAATTAAAGGCATCAAAATAGGAAAAGAAGAATTTAAATTATCACTATTTGCAGATGACATGATTCTATACCTAGCAGACCCAAAAGGGTCTACAAAGAAACTATTAGAGCTAATCAATGAATTCAGCAAAGTGGCAGGATATAAAATCAACACGCATAAATCAAAGGCATTCCTGTATATCAGTGACAAATCCTCTGAAATGGAAATGAGGACAACCACTCCATTCACAATATCTTCAAAAAAAATAAAATACTTGGGAATCAACCTAACAAAAGAGGTGAAAGACTTATACAATGAAAACTACAGAACCCTAAAGAGAGAAATAGAAGAAGATCTTAGAAGATGGAAAAATATACCCTGTTCATGGATAGGCAGAACTAATATCATCAAAATGGGGATATTACCAAAAGTTCTCTATAGGTTTAATGCAATGCCAATCAAAATCCCAACGGCATTTCTTGTAGAAATAGAGAAAGCAATCATGAAATTCATATGGAAAAACAAAAGACCCAGAATAGCAAAAACAATGCTAAGCAGGAAGTGTGAATCAGGCGGTATAGCGATACCAGACTTCAAACTATACTACAGAGCAATAGTAACAAAAACAGCATGGTACTGGTACCAAAACAGGCAGGTGGACCAATGGTACAGAATAGAGGACACAGAAACCAATCCACAAAACTACAACTATCTTATATTTGATAAAGGGGCTAAAAGCATGCAATGGAGGAAGGATAGCATCTTCAACAAATGGTGTTGGGAAAACTGGAAATCCATATGCAACAAAATGAAACTGAATCCCTTTCTCTCGCCATGCACAAAAGTGAATTCAAAATGGATCAAGGAGCTTGATATCAAATCAGAGACACGCCGTCTGATAGAAGAAAAAGTTGGCTACGATCTACATACTGTGGGGTCGGGCTCCAAATTCCTCAATAGGACACCCATAGCACAAAAGTTAATAACTAGAATCAACAAATGGGACTTACTCAAACTAAAAAGTTTTTTCTCAGCAAAAGATACAATAAGAGAGGTAAATAGAGAGCCTACATCCTGGGAACAAATCTTTACTCCTCACACTTCAGATAGAGCCCTAATATCCAGAGTATACAAAGAACTCCAAAAATTAGACAATAAGAGAACAAACAACCCAATCAACAAATGGGCCAAGGACCTGAACAGACACTTCTCAGAGGAGGACATACAATCAATCAACAAGTACATGAAAAAATGCTCACCATCTCTAGCAGTCAGAGAAATGCAAATCAAAACCACCCTAAGATACCATCTCACTCCAGTTAGATTGGCAGCCATTATGAAGTCAAACAACAACAAGTGCTGGCGAGGATGTGGGGAAAAGGGTACACGTGTACATTGCTGGTGGGACTGCAAATTGGTGCAGCCAATTTGGAAAGCAGTATGGAGATTTCTTGGAAAGCTGGGAATGGAGCCACCATTTGACCCAGCTATTCCCCTTCTCGGTCTATTCCCTAAAGACCTAAAAAGAGCATGCTACAGGGACACTGCTACATCGATGTTCATAGCAGCACAATTCACAATAGCTAGACTGTGGAACCAACCTAGATGCCCTTCAATAAATGAATGGATAAAAAAAATGTGGCATTTATACACAATGGAGTATTACTCTGCATTAAAAAATGACAAAATCATAGAATTTACAGGGAAATGGATGGCATTAGAGCAGATTATGCTAAGTGAAGCTAGCCAATCCCTAAAAAACAAATGCCAAATGTCTTCTTTGATATAAGGAGAGTAACTAAGAACAGAGTAGGGTCGAAGAGCATGAGAAGAAGATTAACATTAAACAGGGATGAGAGGTGGGAGGGAAAGGGAGAGAGAAGGGAAAATGCATGGAAATGGAAGGAGACCCTCAGAGTTATACAAAAGTACATACAAGAGGAATTGAGTGGAAGGGGAAAAATAATATAAGGGGGACAAACGAATGTCAGTAGAGGGAGCAGAGAGAGAAGAGGGGAGGGGAGGGGAGGGGAGGGGAGGGGGGATAGTAGAGGATAGGAAAGGCAGCAGAATACAACAGACACTAGTATGGCAATATGTAAATCAATGGATGTGTAACTGATGTGATGCTGCAATCTGTATATGGGGTAAAAATGGGAGCTCATAACCCACTTGAATCAAAGTGTGAAATATGATATATCAAGAACTATGTAATGTTTTGAACAGCCAACAATAAAAAATTAAAAAAAAAAAACCCAGCTCTGGAATAGGCCTATGGGACCCTGGTAAAGTTATTTAATTTCTCTAAGAAATATTATGTCTCTGGGTGTGTCTCTGGTGCATGCCTGTAATCCTAGAAGTTCAGGAGACCAAGGCAGAAAAATCTCAAGTTCAAAGCCAGTCTCAGCAACTTAGGGAAGCCCTAAGCAACTTAGTAGGACCCTGACTCAAAATGAAAAAATAAAAAGATTTGGGGATGTGGGGACGTGCCTCATTGGTTAAGTGCCCCTGGGATCAATTCCTGGTATAATAAAAAAAAAGCCAAAGAAAAAGAAAGATTATGTGAAGTGATATGTATCAAGTCTTCTAGGAGCTGGGGCTGGGCCTCACACCTGTGAAGTACTGGGTTCGCCATGGAAAAAAATAAAGGAATAAATGAAGATACTGTGTCCATCTGCAGCTAAAATAAAAAAAAAAAAGATTTCTAAGCATAGTGCATGGTAGGAACTCATGTGCAATAAATGACAGTGAAACTAGCTGTTCATTAACTTCACTTCTTACTATTTTGGGAAATTCCTTATGTTTTAGGTTTAATAGGGATGTAGAGCCAGTGTGTTACTATGGAACCTTCCATAAAATACCAGATCCTCCCTTTTCCAGCCTCCCATGTGACTAGAATAATCATGTGACCCTAGGCTTAGCCAACCAGTCACTCATACTCTGAATCTGAGTCAGGAGTTACAGTCACAAAGGAGCAGGATAGGACAATGTATCCTAGCTAGAGTGGCCACTGTGACAGCTCATGAATTCTGTGGGGCAGCCATGCATGAGGCTTCCAGAGTCATCTCTGGCAGAGGAACTGTTAGCTGTGATAAACAGGGTAGGGTGGTGGGGGCAACAAGTCCACTCTGAACCTGATTTATGGCATGAAATATGGTCCTATCTGTTGCCTGGCCGCCCTTGTTCCTGCCAATTTTGAGTCTGGTTCTCCAGCTTTCCTGATGATTCTGCGAGCTAACTGATGCCATTTCAAAAAATTCACTTTCTCCTTAAGTCAGAAAGAATTGGTTTCCATGGCTTAGCTTTAAGAACTCTGATTAGGGTGACTGTTCCGTCAATCTTTAAGCTATGTACTTTTAGTGAATTAGTCTGGAAATATATTCTGGAAGGACTGTTATTTTATCTGAGTCTGCAAACCCCATGAGGACAGTAAGCATATTTGCCCTATTCACCCCATATCCTCAGTGCCTAGAAAAATGTCTGGTTATGTAGTAAATGCTTAGCAAATATTGACAGAAGTGGGTGAATTATGGAAACAGACAGAGCAATTACAATGACATATTATATTATCCTCTCCAAAGGGGTTACAAACTACATATAAAGCAATCATAATCTGGCACTCCTGCTACAGAAGTTATAGGATAAAAAAAATAACTGCTTGATACCTTTTTATTCACAAGGATGAGCATTTTATAGAGAGGAAGAGAAGAGTATAAGAGGTAGAAATTACAGAGCTTATAATTTAGGTAACATGGAAGTAGGGAAATTGAAATTTCTGTCATAATAACTGGCTCAATAATATATATGATTTTTTTTTTCTCACACAGGTTAAACAACTGATGCTTTACAGTATACTGTGTTGCTAAGCTATGATATTCAGAAAGTTAGGTATCTTAATTGCATTTTCCAATTGCAATATTTTACTGGTGACAGGCTTATCAAGGTGTAGCCCATCATAAGCTAAAAAGAATCTGCATGTCCTCACAATGACCGAATCCCAGCTTTGCATCACAGAACAACATGGGAACTTCAAACTTTGCAACTAAATTAAAGTTGCAGTGCACAACTAGCACTCTCTGAACCTGGCTGAGAAAAGTAAAAATCCTCTCTGGAAGAAGGTAACTTTAATTTATGCCTCAAATTGTTTCTACAAATAAGTTTCCAAATACACAAGAAGTAAAAGTACATTGCAGTAAAGAAACCATAAGCAAGAGTCCATCAAAAAGACCAGAAAATGAAACCCTGAGGGACCCTGGTATTATAATTATCAGACACAGAATATGAAACAAAAGTGTTTGGTGTATTCAAGGAGCAAAAGGAAGGGCATAAAGTTTTAAGGAACAGAAGCTATAACCTGCAATAAGACAAAAAATGGAATTCTAGAACTAAAAATGACAAAAATAAAAATTAAAAACTAAGTGGACAGGTTTAGAAGCAAATTAAACACAGCTGAAGAGAAAAAAAATAGGTGAGAAGAATTTAGTCAGAAAGAAGCATAAAGCCACAAAAGATGGAAAAATGTAGAAAGAAAGTAAGAGACCTAGGATATGTGAACAGATTTAATATATTTTTAACTGGAAGAGAGAAGCTAGAAACTTGGCAGGGGCAACTTAGAGATAATGATTCAAAGTAACCCAGAACTGATGAAAGACATCAATTCACTCTAAGAAGTTGAACATCTCAAGTAGGATTTTGAAAAGAAAAAGAAAAAAGAAACCCAAATTCACATAGTGAATTGTGGAAAAATAAAGCTGAAAAGCAACCAGAAAAAAGAGAGACAGATTTTCTTTGGAGGAACAACAGCTAGACTAACAGCTGACTTCTCAATAAGAACCATGGAAGTTGGAAGCTAGCAAAATAACTTCAGTGTACTGAAAAGGAAATGTAGTCACATGTGGCATAGCAACACTTCCGTCAGCAAGGGACTGTGTATTTGATACTGCCCCATAAGATTATATTGCCTGGTGATGTCACAGCCATCTAAGTTTGGTAAGTACTCTCTGGTGTTTGTATAATGAGAAAAATCACATTATGAAGCATTTCTCACAATATGTCCTGGTTGTTAAGTGACATATTGGTGTAACTACCAACTTAGAACTTTTATCCCTTGAAAATATTCTTCAAGAAAGAAGGTGAAACTAAATAAAGATATTTTCAGACAATCAGATACTGAAAGATTATGCCACAAAATAATCTATACGAAAGGAGATTTGGACAGAAAGAAAATTAATGCCTGATGCAAATTTAGAGAGGTGTAAAGAATGAAGGGCAATGAAAGTGATAAATATGTAGATCAATCTAAATGAAAGTTGAACATGTAAAACACTAATAATAATGTCTTGTGGAAATTGCAAAATAGTACATAGAGAGAGAATACTATATATTGCATATAAGTGAGAGAGTGAATTAGGTTAAAAACAGAGTTCTAACAGCTTGGTATTATCTAAGAAGAGAGTAAGTAAGCATGAAATTTGACATTCGACTTTGGCAGGTCACAGAAGGATGCTGTAGTTTCTACAATAATTATTTAAGACAAAAAGTATAAAACTGTCAAATTTAGAGGGAGAAATACAATCACAAAAAAATTAAAAATCCAGAAGTAGGCAAGAAAGAGGAGGAAAAGTAATACAGAATACTTGGCAAATTTAGAGATTGCATAACTGAAACCAAATTATTAATAATTGCATTAAATGTAAACAGACTAAATGTTCTAGTCAAAAGAAAAAAAATCTCAGAAAAGATTTAAAATAGCATAATGCTTAAATATAGGTTACTTGCCAAAGACATATCTAAAACATGGACATGTGAAAAAACTGAAAGTAAAAGTTCTATCATAAAAGCATTAATTAAAAGAAAGCTGTTGGACCATTACATAAGATTACTAAAGAAAAGGAGGCTCAGTTTACAGTAGTTAAAAGTTCAATTCACCCAAAAGATATGAGAATTTTCTTATTTGTATATACTTAATACCCATTTCAAAAATTAACACAAGTATCGGGAAAAGTCAACAAATTCCCAGTCATAGTGAGAGATTTGAAATATACTTTTTTATTTCATACACACACACACACACACACACACACACAAACACGTGTGTGTATGTATGTGCATGTGTATATATATATATATATATATATATATATATATATATGTATATATATATGTGTATATAAAATAAACAAAATTTGTGAAGTGCAGATTTGAAGACATTATTAACAAACTTAACCTATTGGACATATTTAAACAACTGCTGAACACATAGATGATTGACAAAATTGATTTCATACTTTATATTACAAGATTGAAATGAGTAGAGTTAGTAAAGTTGTGCTGAAGAATCAATTAAAAAATATAAATTTCTTTTATGTTTGGAAATTAAGAAATGCAGTTATAAACAGCCTATAAGTAAAAAGTAAATCATGATAAGAATTAGAAAATATTTTGATCCAAATAATAGAATATTATGTACAAAAATTTGTGGAATGCAGTTAAAGCAGTAATTAATAAAAACCACATAGCCTAAAATGACATTATAGGAAAATAAAAAAAAAAAACCACAAGAAATGAGTTAACCATCCTTCTCAAGTAATAACAGAATAAAAGAAAGAAAGAAAGTAGGATAAGGGTAAGTAAAATAAGTAGAAAATAAATATATACTAGAAATGACAGTAAAATAAGAAGTTTGTTGTTTGGTGAGACTGATCAAGAAAAAGAGCAAAAAATGATAAGTAGTTGATACTAAGAAGCAAAAATCAACGATTGCTATAGAACAGGCAGTTGTTTAAAAGGTAATAAGAATATTGTACATAATATTATGCCAAAAAGTTGAAAATTTAGATGAAATGTGTACATATTTGTAGAAAAATACAACTTACCAATACTGACACAAGAATAAGTAGAAAGCCTGAGAACTCATATTACTATTTGTCTTTGTCCACTTGTGCAGCCATAAAAAATTCTACAGACTTAGTAACTTATGAACAATGGGGATTTATTTCTCACGGTTCTGGAGGCTGAGAAGTTCACAGTCATGGTGACAATAGGCTGCACAGCTGGTGAGGGCTGCTCTTCTGCTTCCAAGATGGCACCTTGTTACTGCATCCTCCAGAGGGGAGGATCATTGTGTTCTCACAAGGTGTAAGAATAAGGAAGTAAACCCACCCTCTCAAGTTCTTTTATGAGGACCCTAATTCCAGTAAGGGGCTTAAGCATCTCTTCATGACCTCACCTCTTAACATCATGTCATTGGGGATTAAGTTTCAGCATAGAAATTTGGGAGAATACATTCAAAACATAGCACTAAAATTAATGAAGTTTCAGTTCTAAAATAAATGAGTTTATTCTAGAACAAAGATAATTCCATGTTTAGTCAGATTTACCAATTTAAAAAAAAAACAAATAAACCAATAAACAGACATACTTTCTCAGTTGGGTGTGGTGGTGCACACTTCTAATCCCAGTGGCTCAGGAGGCTGAGGTAGGAGGATGGTAAGTTTGAGGCCAGCCTCAGCAGCTTAGGAAGGCCCTCTCACAAAATAAAAAATAAAAAGGGATGGGGATATGGTTCAGTGGTTAAGAACCCCTTAATTCAATCCCTGGTACATATATATATATATATATATATATATATATATATATATATATATATATATATATCATCTACAAAAATCTTCAAGGAGTCCAAATTGTCCTATAAAACATTACAAAACTGCCACGGGTCAAGATCCAGGAAAAAATAACAGACTCTAGCCAGTATGCAGCTACTCTAAATTCATTTCATTTCTTTAAAAGATGACATTAGAAGTACTTCTCTACCTGCCTGATGACACTTGAATCTCTCAGCACATGCATGGGAGAAGGAGGAAGGAACAAAGAGGCCACCTGCTGCTCTTTTCTTAATGCCACCAAGGAAACACTCTATCCTAACAGGGAAATGAAGGAAACTTGCCCTTGAGAGCAGAAGCTGGCCTGGAGGTGACATGGGTTGCCAGGCTCTGGAGGAAGCGGGTAGGTGAGCCCTTTGCTGGGGTCTGACTCTCATGACCTCAAACATGTTGTACAAGTCATCAAAATATGCATATACGTGTGTGCATACAATAAAAGTACTAATTTGTTAAGTGTTAACATGCAAAAACCATAGCTATTTTCATGGTCCTATTTTGGCACTGATTTTTCAATATAATTCAGAAGATGTAGGATAGACACCAGGATCTCTTCCAATATCTGAGGCTCTGATTTAAAAAATGCACTGAAGAGGAATGGGTGGGAGAGATGAATCTCCCGGTTATTTACTTCATTCGGTGGCCACAAAAGGGCTTGGAGCCATCTGATTCTCCTACATGAGCAAGGCAGGAGTGTTTCCTGTTTTCATCTCTTGGTAATGACTTTGTCGCCAACCAGCTGACAAAAAGAATATGGGGCATTGTCCAGATCCTCCCTCTCGTTGACTCCCACACTTTCTCACATCCCTAGACCCTATGCCTTAGTGCAGGATGCTTCTTTATCCTGAAAGATACTACCTTTTCATTTTTTGCCTTCAGCACTTCACATCCCAGACCCTGTAGGGCCATATTAATTCCTGCTCAGCTCAGAAGTCCTCTCCTCTTGGAGAACTTGGCTGACCCACCCTGCACCCAGGCAGGCTCATTCCACCACCACACTCTTATGCTGTGGTCATATGGATACAAGAAAGCTATGCCCTCATTCTAGGATGTGGACACATCTTGTCACAGGGCCCTCCAGAAAAGCAAAAGCAACATTTGCTTCCTCCAAGGGTCTGTGAGAAAACCCAGTTTCCCCAAATAACTCTGGCTAGTATTATTAAAAAATGACAACAGCAATTTTAAAAGAATAATTAAGTTGTGCTTTAATTGTGTTTTAATCTCCAGATCATAGACAACTTGTGACACTGAACCTATTTTGTTCCTTTCAAATTTTTACTGCAAACAAATATGTTGGCATATTTAGCTGATTTGTGATAACTGATTTGTTAAAACTCCTCAAGGAAGATTGTTAAAACAATGTGTATAATATAGGTGGTAAGCACTTTTTCCCAGTTTGAAACATTGATTTCTTCTCTCTGTGTGATAATATCTTATTCATCTACCGGTTTGTTCATTTGTTGAATGTCTTTCCTTGCCAGAATGAAACTTAACGTCTATCTTGATTACAGTATGTCCCTGTGGGAGGCCCACATAGCATGTGACCTGCGTTTGCCTCCCCTTTTGATCAGTGTGGCACAGTCAGTCGGTCACCCTGTGATCTGGTTGCTTAGGTAACCAAAGACAGTAGCCCCAATCTTTAGGGTTGAAAAAATGCAATGTGTCTTCATGCATGGGTGTGCCTTCCTATATCCCCAGGGATCAAGTTACCTCACCTGTCCTTGTAACTCTTGACCTTCATTGGATGGAAATTTCTAAAGAATCTAGAGTCCCCCCTATAAAAGTCCACTCCGAAATGTGCTTGATCTCTCGCCAGCCTCTCATGAGATTCCTCACTCTCCCATTTTGGGAGCTTGAGGCCCAGGGCAAAGGAGCCACCCAGGGGCTTGATTTAAAGGTAAATTGTGTGTCTGCGTTTTATTCTGATGCCTTGGGAATTTCACTGGAGCGACCTCTAGTTTAGATGTCTGTGCAGGTCATAGATGACATGTCCCTATCACCCAGTTCATGACATGACACATATTAGGTGATTAATAAGTGTTTGTTAAATGAATGAAATCCATAAGCACCTACTGTGGACCAGGTCCTGTGCTGGTGCTGAGGATGTATGGGTAAAGAAACAGTTCCTGGCTTCATAAACTCATAGTCCATGGCTGACTTGAAGTGTATTCTTGGAACCATGAATTACTAGTTTCCAGAGCTGGTAGGATCAAAGGGGACTGAGGTCGAAGGGAGCCACTCCTAAGATGTCTCCCCAAGATCCCTGCTCCTGGAGTTCATGCTTGTGTGAAATCCCTTCCCCTTGGGTATAAGCTAGACCTACTGACTGCCTTCTAACAGACAGAACAGGATAAAGATACTGGGATGCCACTTCCAAGACCAGTTTACAGAAAAACTGTGGCTCATTTTTCTCACTGTCACTCTGTATCTCTCTGAACCTTTGTTCTGGGGGACAACAAGCTCCCATGTTGGTGCCCACAGACAGGGTTCCAGGAAGGAGAATGAGGGAGGAAAGTCATAAAATCACTAAGACCCTTATACCAACAGGTCCCAAGAAACTGAATCCTGACATCAAACACGGGAGAGAGCTTGGAAGCAGATCTTCCCCAGGCAAGCCTTCAGGTGAGACCACAGCCCGGGGCCAATACCTTGAATATATCTTCAAGAAAGGCCTTGAGCCAGAGATACCTAGCTGAGTCTCACCTTGATTCTTGACCCACAGAAACCCTCTTTATGTTTCCTATTTAAGCCACTAAGCTTCAGGGTAATTTTGTTACATAGATAACTAGTAAAAGAAACTAGAGAGTTTATGTGTAATTTTCCCAAGTACCTTCCCCTAGTAAGTTAGTGTTGAGCTCTTTCTAGAATTCACATTATTTCCTTCCATGATTTCCCATGCACTTGTCTCCCTCCCTTTTCCAAAAGAGTGGATAAAGGAAGTGTTAAAAGCAGGAAAGACATTTAAAAATGAAAGATAACTTACGCGTTCTTCTTCTTAAAAGCACATCAAAGAGAAATGTCAATCACACTAAACACTGATGACATCGTGCTAGGATTTCAAGATAGAGAAAAAAATGGCAGTATCTTTTGAGACGTTTGGTGATGATTAAAGAAGGAAACAGTAACTTTTGCCCACCCCCTCCTTATCCTTCCCACCATACACCTCTAGCATTTTCCTTAATATTCTTGTCCCTGGAGAAACAGCTGCAGAGCCAGAATTGAGAGCACAGAAGCATCAGGAGTCGTGGGGTGGCAACAGAAGGGTGGGAGGAGGGAGGAAGTGCTGGCTGTTATTCCATTTCCTTTTTAACCTCAATATAGTCTCTAGCACAGCACTGACAAGCAAGGCAGGTTTTAAATGATTGCAAGCTAATTATTTGGGTTCGTGGAAACACACAGAAAGACTTCCTGAGAATCTACTTTTAGAATTACCAGGGAAACATGCTGAAAAGAGCATCCCTGTAAGTCCTGGCCCCAAGCTTTACAAAATACACATTGTTAGAAGGGGTCTGATCAACCACAACAGAAAGTATAGGTGCAAGTGAGAGCATCATGCTGGGAACACATGAGGTGTGCATATGGAGATGCTCTCCACTGTCTCATGGGAACAGTGATCACATGAGAGTTACTGTGAATGTTGAAGGAAGGTCTGAGCAATCACAGCCTTCCATCAAACCAGAAAGATTCTGCCACACACCTATTATTATTTTTATTATTGGTCACAGCAATGTCCCCAGCTTTAAAAAATAAGATACCTGATGTTTTATGTTATCTTATAGACAGCAGTGGTTACATAACTGAGCGGTAAGATGAAAAATGAAATCTAAAATAGGACTTTTAAGAAAAATACAGATTTTAGGGTTAGGGTTGTGGCTCAGTGGTAGAGTGCACATGTGAGGCCATGGGTTCGATCCTCAGCACCACATAAAAATGAAATAAAGATATTGTGTGTCCACCTACAACTAAAAAAAATTAAAAAAATTTTTTTAAAGAAAAATATAGATTTTCTGAATTGAAAAAAGACATAAATTTAAATGGCATGTGCCTTTGTTCTTTCTCTGTTGGCTTGCCTAGTTATGATGTCCATAGGTCCGGCAGCCATCTTGTAACCAAGGGAAACTACTTAACCCAAAGTAGAGGCAGAGATATGTTATGACAAGAAAAGAAACTAGATTCCTCAATGGAATCCTTAAAGCATGATGTTGGCGCCAAATTGCTACCTCCAGACTCTGTTATGTGAGCAAATATAACAATTGTATTTAACTAATCCGTGATTGTGAAGATCTTTGCTACTTACTGTTGAATGCAACCATAGCTGATTTATTTATTCCTACAAAATACATACAAGTTATATGTAAAATTAATAACAATTAAAGGCCTATGTTGATTTGCAAATGCCTGAGGGTTAACCAAGCTTATCCTCTAGTTATGTAATCTGCTCATGCTGCAGTCTCACAGCTTTGGAGGTTCATATTTGCTTTATAGCAAAATGCTAAGTTTCTACATGCAGATCTCTGTACTTATTTTGAATGTAAATCTTGTTTGGCTAAGAGTCTCCATTTTGCTTGAGTGAAGTTACTAACTGTTGCAACTCAGAAACACAAGAGGAATTTAAACTCCGTGGTTGAAACTCCTCTAAATGGTTTATGAAAAAATTCTCCAGTTATTACAACACTAAGCTCTAGAATATGTGTATTTTACCAAATAACCCTCACCTAATTCAGGATTTCTATCGCCCATGTCCTGCACAGGTGACAGATTCAGGGTCACTCCGCATGAATTGGGCTGGCAACCAAAAGACCACACAAACACAAAATACCTTTTTTGTAGGGTCAGGGGTGGCTCTGAGACCTCAGGTGTCAGCTCCCATGCTGGAGGGAAAGAGGAGCAAGGGAGGCAAGAGGCAAGAGAGCAAGCGCACCCAGACCCCAGAACTTATTAGGGGAAGACATTCGATAGAATATTCCACCCAAGTAAGGCAAGAGATTGTGTTACAACAAACAGCGGGGTGTAGCCCAGTCCCACTGAGTGACACCCAATCCCAGAGCTGCACTTCCTTGCCCAGCCCTGCTTGGCACTGCGTGTGATGCCAGTTCCACACACCCCCATTACTCAAGGCTAAGGGGGCGTGCTCAGCTCCTGTTCAGGCCCCCGAAAGATTACAGTTTTAGTTGACTATTTCATTTATCATATTCATAAAGAAAAAATAGGCAAAATACCATCTGAAAGAGATGTGGACCAATGGCTGCTCAAGCATCCCTTTGGGCCCTGGAAATCCCTCACACAGCTGTTGGTCTGCCTTTTTGTCAAAGGCACTCCTAAAAACTGAAACATTTCTAGATGATAGCCTTCTGAGGAGGAATATTTCAGCGTTTCTTGAAGCAACATCTAGAGTATACCAGACTTGAGAAATGCTTTTGAACAAAGGGGTGTGTATTACTCAGTTTTCTACTAATGACAAAATATCTGTGGCTGCAAAAATGTATAAGAAAAGAAAGTTATCTACTTCAGAGTTCTGAAGGTTCAAGAATGTGATACCAGCCTCTGCTCTGCTCTGGTGAGGGCCTTGGATAATCTCACAGTGCAGTACATAGGAGAAGGATCACATGATGAAACAGGAGGCCAGAGAGTGATTCCAGGGGTCAGACTTATTCTTTTATAACAACACACTCTATGGCACTAACGGGGGTTCCAGGGAACTACATTAGTCCCTTTCTGAGGGTGATGCCTCCAATGACCTAAACACCTCCCCCTAGGCTCCACCTCTTTGAAGTTCTACCACCTCTTAACATTGCCCCACTGGGGCCCAAGATTCCAACTCATGAACCCTTGTGGGGAAAAACACATACAAGTCATGGTTCTTCCCCTGGGCCCCAAGATTCATGTCCTTCTCACAGACAAAAACAATCATCCCACCCCCAATAGTCCTGAGGTCTTACCTCATTACACTATCACTCAGAAGTCCAAGTCTAAAGTCTCATGGCAACCTCTTTCCTATTGTGAGGCTGTAGAATAAAAAATAAATAAATAAAATAAAATAAACAAGTTATCAATATCTAAGATACAATGGAAGCACAGGAATAGGATAAAAATTTCCAATCCAAAAAAAGAGAAATGGGAAATAGAAAGGAATAACCAGCCCTAAGGCAAGACTAAGACTTAGCAAGGCAGAGTTCAGCATCCTGTACACCGTGTAGCACACTTGGGCCCCCAAGGCCTTGGGCAGCCCTGCCCATAGCTTTTATGGTTGCAGCCCTCCTGACTGCTGTTTCAGATGGCATGCTGACATCTGTAGCTCACTTTCTTTCTTTCTTATCTCCCTCTTCTTCCTTCCCTCCCATTCTCCCCCATCCCCTTCTTTCTCTCTCTCTCTCTCTCTCTCTCTCTCTCTCTCTCTCTCTCTCTCCCTTTTAGTTTTGGTACCGGGGATGGAATACAGGTGTGCTTTACCACTGAGCTATATTCCAAGCTCTCTTTACTTTTAGTTTTGAGACAGGGTCACATTAAATTGCTGAAGATGGTCTCTAACTTGTGGTCCTCCTACCTCAGCCTACTGAGCCTCTGGTATTTCGAGCATGCACCACAGCACCCAGCTGATGTCTATAGCTTTCTAAGGCTGGTGTTGCATGCTGTTGGTTGCTCTACCTTTCTGGTGGCCCAGGTACAGATCTACTCACACAGTTCCTCCAGGTATCACCCTACTGCAGGGTTATCTGTTCCAACTCCAGCCCTGTAGTCAAGCTCCATTTGAGTTTCCAGACTTTCCTTTGAAATTTTGGTAGAAGCTTCCCTTCCATGGACGCATAGCTCTGCACACCTGCAGAATCAGTACCACATGAATGTCACCAAGGTTTGTCACTGGCATGAGCTGGGCCTGGGCCTGCTTTTCCCACATTTGCAGTGGCCACTTTGCCAGAAGGCTAGGAACAGAATCCAGAGGCAGCTCTGGGCACCTAACCCGTGGAGAATGCCTAGGGGCTATTCTCTGAAACAAGTCTCTTTCTAGGCCTCTGGGTCTATGATGGGAAGGATGGCCAAAGAATTTTTCCAGTCATTCTAATGATCAGCATTCATGTTGACCTATTCAAGGAGTAATCCTTTGGCCACACTCTATGTGCTTTTTTGCCCCTCACCTCTTCCGTGGCCAGGTTGAGATTTTTACAAATCGTGTGCTGTTTCCTTTTGCACCCAAGTCTTACTGTAAATCTCACTGAAATTGGTCAATAATGGCCAAGGGACAGCTGAATTTTCACTGCTCAGAATTTCTTTCTCAAATATCCTAGGTCACCACTTTTAAATTTGGTTGGACCTAAATGCAACCAAATTCTTTGCTACTTAAAACAGGGAAAGCCTTTTCTTCAATCTCCAATAGGATCCCCATTTTTATCATCTCTTCATCTTCTACACCCTGACAGAACCACCCAAAACACTGCTTACATCATGCTGATTTTCTTCTAGCCCTGGTCCTCCAAAAATTCCAACCTCTGCTAATAACATAGTTCCAAAGTTGCTTCTACAATTTCAGGTATTATTATAGCAACATTCTCCTTGCCACCAATTTTCTGTTTTCAGTCCATTTTTCATTACTGTTACACAATACTTAAGGCATACATTACAAAGAGAATTGGTTTCTTTTGCTTATAATTTTGGAGGGTAAAAATCCCAAAGGAAGCAGACACATGTGTTTGGCCTCTGATCAGGGCCTCATCATAGATGGCAACATGATGAGAGCATACATAAGAAGTAGAGATTACAAGATAAGAAAGGAAGCCACAGAGTAATTTATAAAGCCCACTCTTGTATGAACTAATTAGGGCCCCACCCAAACTATTTTAATCCCTCCTGAGAGGAGTGCCCCCCAAAATGTTACCACCTCTCATGAGGCCCCACCTCTTAAAAGTTCTACCACCTCTTATATTGCTGCACTGAAGACCGATTCAGTGGTTAAGCACCCTTGTGTTGGGGGACAAACCAGTCAAACCCTGGCAGGGCACAACTGAGAAATGCTTCCTTTAAATAGTCACAGTAAATGTGAGCTTATTAAAAGCACTGAGAAGTGTCATGGTAAAAACACCTGTTAATATTTATTTTTATCTCAGCATAGTTCACAGAGCCCATTTCTTATTTAATGCTTATTTCCATAGACAAGTTTCAAAATATTAGTTTAGAATAACATTGGGATCTATTTGAAACAAAACTAGCTGAAAAAAAATCAAGGAAAAAATTTTGACACAATTTTCACAAAATTTTCTTTTTTGATTTTTGGCTTTTTTTTTTTTAACCTTAAATTGTTTTGCTTATCAATAGATCTGATAGACAACATTAAACAAAGCAGCACTAATTTACAATGAAAATTTAGTCACATCAAATGACTTAACTTCCTTTTCTTTATCTGAGATGGTTTGCTGAGGAAATCTAAGACTCTTCTATTGAAAAAAATATATATCTCATGACTCTAGTGACTCTATCTTGTAACTCTATTCTGTTTTGAGTGGGAGGCTTTTGTTTAAAGATTTCTTTGAGTGCTTTCTTCCATCTAGTTGCATAGACAGCACTGCTGTCTATCTCTTCCTCAAAGTGGGAATGCACTGCAGTAATAAATCACTTCATCTCAGCAGAAGTATTTGGTTCTCCTTATTTCCAGAACTGGTGAATGTCACGATTTACACATGTGAGCTATCTATTAACATGGTCTGCAGGACTTTGGAAATGTTTGAGGAGCTGATTAAGGATAGAGGGGAGCTTATTCTCAACATCTACCGCAAACAGATCAAGTAGAAAAAGACACACAGATTTCCCTATAAATAATGCAAATAACACTCCCTAGTGCCAGCCTACAGAGATGGGGTTAACAAGGCAGATCGGAGTTAATGATATCTCTCCTGATTCTTTTGAAATCACATGAGTACTCATAGAGTAGGCAAGTATCAGGAGATGGATCAGAGGCTGTAGTAAGGCCGTTTTTACTGTTACCTTTTTACAATTTTTAAGTTCTCTGTGTTGGTCTTTAACATGGACACTTTTAAAGCAGATTGCTTTTATTTTGCTTATTTGGCAAACATTTACTGTGCAGGTAAATGTTTGATGGAACTTTGTACCTTTTACAAAGCATCATGTCAAAAATTCTGATGGCATAGCAGATTGCATTTTCCAATCAACCATAAAATTAACTCCCATCCCACATGCTCTTCTTAAAATCCAGATTTAACATTACTACCGAGAAGAATGGTCTGTATTCCCTCCTCCTTCAAATTGGGTCACTTTTGTGACTCTAGTGATCAACAGAGTTGGGTAGAAGTAGCGCACTGAAGCTTCTGAGGCTAGGCCATGATAGGGTATACCTTGTTTCCCTGTGTTCTCTCTTGCAATTTTTAGCTGCCATTGGATCAATCAGTTTTGTGGCACTAAGGCTGCCCTGCTGAGATGCAGCCCAAATTACCCTGTGGAGAGAGTACAAAAGAAGCCCTGGGACTCCACGAATATTGGTAGATTTCAGTAGCCCTCAGCTACTCCAGTTCTCACCCCCCACAGTCCTAGCTCCAGCCCCCATCTGACTGCAGCCACAGGCCAGACCCTAAGAGTTTCTCCTCCAAGCTCTCCCCAAATTACAGAGGCTATGGTGATTGACGCAATGACTGCTGTTTTAATCCACTAAATTGGGGCTCAAGTTGTTACACAGCAATAAATAACTAGAAAAGAGAGATACCAAGATAATATTTCATGTTCTTTGTATTCAGAGGAGCTTGGAATCAAAATGGGAAGACCAGACGTGCCCATAAGAAGAACAAAGCAGTGGATGAAGGGAAAAAAACAGACCAAGAAGCCTAGTGATGAGCTAAATGTTGATCTAGACTGGCTCAGGGTTCCCAACTGGTATGGAGAAGCCACGTGCAAGTATCAGATCCATTCCATGTTGTGGAGAGTTTCAACAGGGCTTGGTGACCAAAGAGTTCTCAAGGAACTTTAATGGGTGCTTCTGAATTATGATTGGTGATAGAAACTGCCTATAATCTTAAATTTGAAATAACTTGGATGCACGTTAGCATACTTATGGTATAAATAATAATAATGGCAATAAACATTTACATGTATCATCTTATTTACTCATAAAAATGCAAAAGATAGTAAATTGCTACAGTTTTATTATTCTACGGATTCATTTATTTAAAAAGTAAATGCCTGGGTGAAATTGTATATACAGTTTTATATATAAATTATACACACACACACACACACACACTCACACATACAAATGTTTACTCTGGACAGAGAAGCAATGTGGTAAACACATACCAGAAAATAAAATAGGACACAATTTATGTCATTGAATAGTCAAAAATGTAGTTGAATATTTGTGTCTAAAGTCCCCCACACATACACATATGCAAATAATTAATAAGAGTGAGAAAGAAATGTCAAGTTCACAATGTTAGGTACAAACTAAGTAAAGTTTAAATATCTGTCTGTCCTAAAGCTGTCCTTTGCTTCGGACAACCCTTGCTCCATATGTTTTTTGTGGTTCTGACCCAATCCTTATGATGAAACTGTGAAGTCAATTAAGTTGAGTCTCCCATTCTGTATACTCTTGTCCTAAAGACTATAATTAAATAGAAGTATTTCCTGGACCATGTATTTTTGCCTAGAAGTTCTTCAAATTTACAGAGTAGCATTTCTCAAAATACATATTTATAGAATATTGTTCCATGAGATTGAGATGTCTGGCAACAACAACAACAACAACAAAGCAAATTTGGAATGAAATAAATTCTTTATATTGCATCCTTATAATGTACATTAACATATTAAAAGCTCTGAGAAATCCTGTAATTATAAAATCTTTAAAATTTTGGTTAAGTATTTCTCAAGTATTTTTGAAAGTAAATTCCCACCTCCCTCTCTCATTCCTTCCATTTTTTTTTTTTTTTTTTTTTTGGTTCTTGTTTCATATAATACATATGAGGACACTTTAGGCACTACTGCTTTAGGGAAAATGATAAAGTGAAGTGAGCTTCACCCTCTCCTTTGTGTCCTCCTAACTATGTGGTTTTAGGTAATTTAATTTACATTTTTGGAGTTGCTATGTAAAAAAAGAGGAATTGCTGTGGTAAATTCCATCATATAGGGCTACTGTGAGGTGAACAGCAAATAACAACTTTCATTCCCCTTTCCTTGGAGAATTAACTTTGCCTCTTCAAAGGTGGGGTCAGAACAGAAATCTTAGATTTGCCACTGTACAGATTCTGGCTCTGGGACACTGGACCAATTAAAACCTATGTTCCTATATAGGGAAGCTGAGCTCAAAAGGAAGTAAAACTTGACTACAAATTTCTCCTTGTTAAGAATCCCCTGGTTTAGACATTGGCAATAGACTGGGTTGGAAAGTTGGACACACATAGCAGTTAAGCCCTTAGCATCTAGATCCAGACTGCCTGGATTCAAATCCCTTTCCACCATGTGGCAGCTGTCTGTCCTGGGGAGTTGTTGAACACTCAGTGCCTCAGTTGTCTATTTTTTAAATGGGGACAACAGTAGTAGCTACCTCCTAAGATTGGAAGGAACATTACATTATTAATACATTGAACACTGTCTAGAATATGACATGGTAAATGTTAGCTAAGATGGCAGGTTTATAAATATCGAGGTGGAGACAATGTTGAAGTAAAAACTAGCCCTATCTTGTATCTAAAATAGACAAGTAGTTGAGGGGAAATTATTTTGGTGCTTAGACTGTGCTTTCTTTTCAGAATGAAGTCAATTTTCCATTTTATTCACTCTGGCCTCGGAAGTGACACTGTCACCAATGCCATAATCTTCTTGAAGCACTGTGACCTCTTTGCCTTGCCCTTTCAGAGTTGTCAAACCTTGGGAGGCCCAATAAATCTAACACATTTTTTCAATATTATTCTGATAGACCCTCTTAACCCTAGCAGAGCAAGGTGATGTCTTTCTAATGCATAATGATTTGGTTTAATAAAAGGAAGCTTGTTTGAGAATGATTATCACCATGAATATGCAGTCATAAAAAGTTGGTAGGAGACAGACTGGGCACCATGAAAATTTCACAAGGTTGAAATCAGGGCAAAGCTCAGCATGCGGGATGAGCTAGAAGAATGCTCTTAGCACAGTAGTTATTAATATCTGGTAAAGAACCTGACCCTTGTTGCTGTAAACAAGACCAGATAATTACATGTTCATTCTAAAAGCACTCTAAGATCAAAATTGAGGCATTTGTCAAAGGGGACAGGAAAGTAATTTGTACTAAAATGAAACATAGAATTTTAGTCTTCATTATCTGACAACTTTGGCCCAAGTCATGAAAGATTTGTTACTTTGGGTAATGATGATAATTAGCATTCTTGTCCATAAAGGTTCTTATTCTCTTGTTTTCTAGAAGGGGAGGCTGAAAGCAATATGATGTGTACAAATAGCTTTTGGAAAGGACATATTTTGCACCTTTTTCTTGAATGGGTTTGCTCTTCCCCTTACTGTGATTATTTATACAAGATGAAAGAAACTTTTGGATCACAGAGTCACCATTAAAGACAGGCCCAGGCAAATAAGATGAGCACCATCCAGCACTGGAACCACTCTTTCCACCTCTGATTCACAAGCAGATGAGGAAACAACTCTCCAGGATGTGTTAAGCTGGCCTGTGTACACTCATCCTCATGGGCTCCAGTTGCCCCTTTCTGCTCTTGAATGCACGATATTTTTTTCAGGGAAGAAATTCATTAGAATTAGTGAAGTTAAGAGGAATTCCTTTAGTCCAACATTTGATCCCCTCCCTTTTAGTTGCATACATAAAGAAAAATGGACCAATATGAAAATGATGTGATGTAAATTCATGAAATGAACAAAAGGATCTTTTCTTTCCTAGTCAAATTTCATTCTTCAGGGTGACATCACGTCTCTTTATCTTTCTTTCCATTTTTTATCCTTTCAAATAGCTAGAAATTAGTACCAAATCAATGAAATAAAATAACTATGGGCTTCAACCTGATCAAAGGGGCAGCAGGAATTCATCTCAGCTAATAACTTTGCATTATTACAGAACTGGACTTTAATGGCTTTGCCACAAGACAGTGTTGGTAAGGAAAGTTGGCTAAAGGTCCTCAGTGACTGCATTATTCCAGGCAACCTATTTTGTATGGCACAGATGATATAAAGGGGTAGAGGAGATTCTTCTCTAATTAGGATCAAATTTATAAAAGTTAAATAACATGCTATGATTTGAGTTGTGCATTGAGCCTCTGAAGACTTGCTTTTCAGTCCTATAAATTAATGGGCAAATGATTCTACTACTGTAAAAGTAGAGGGTGAAAGCAAATACCTCCATCTGGATTTTCCAGATGATTTTGGAAGGGAAATCTAAGCTGGATTCAATAGGAAAGTAAGTAGCAGATTTTAAGACAGGTGGGATGAACTGAGCAAAAGTTGGGCACCTGGTATGTTTCATAATGAAAGTGAGCTGTTCTGTTACAGCAGAGGTTTAGTTAAAGGGTGGTGAGGGATGAGCCTGGAAAACTGGCTGAAGTCAGATTGTGGAGGCCTTTAAATTTCCAATCAAACCATTTGGGTGTCTATTTTCCGGATAATGGGTAGCCACTGAAAGTTTATTAATATTCAACAATGAGGGCAAGATAGTTTGCAATCAAATACAGCACGGGAATCAAACAGAGGATTTTCAACTATTCAATGTAATCATGGACGGGAGCTTGATTGCTTGCAGGCAGTGGGCACGCAAGGCAGATTTGCCAGGCTACGCTCCAACCTGGCAGGCAGAGGGAAGGAGCAGCTGGGACACAATGGAGGGCGGGTGGTCTGGGTGCACACAAAAGGGGCTTTCAATGATGTCTCAGCTACTCCCTTGCAGTTTGACTTTGGGCATTTCCTTAACTCCTCTGACACTTGATTTTTCCTTCTGTAAAATGGAGATCCAATATCTCCCTCCCCATGTTGTTAAGAGTCATTAGAATGACATTTGAGTTTCTGGATCGTGGTCTGTACTCCATGAATGGTAGCTATTTTTGCTTTCATTGTAATTATTACCATTATCAGCCATCTCACACACAAGCATCAAATTTATAGCCAGATTAACTCTGATTAACTATGGCTTTTTTCCCAAAAGTGCTTATCAAACATGTCTGGTTGGCAGTGAGTGATGAAGCCATCTTCACAGATGAGTGTTTATGCCTTCCAGGAATGGGGATACTGGCCTGCCTGGAAGGACAGTGTTTTGCTGCCCCAGAAAAAGGAGCAGTTGGGAACCTGATGTCTTCAGTGACCTCTGCATCCTGGTTTCATCCTCAGGGATACAGAGAGTGGCTGACTCCACCTCCATCACTGAGACCATGGTAAGGAAAGAGCAAGTGAGGGTACTCCAAGGGCTCCATTCGTTCTTTTATCTCTGGGCACCATGAAAAGTAGCTTAAGTGACGTTTATGACTACTGGGTCTACAACATGCCAACTGGACAAGTTGTTTCGACTCTGTGGCTGTGGGAATTGCATGAGCTACTGGGTAAGAAAGTCCTGTAAAATGGAGGACTAATTAAGCCCTCCATTAAATATCCTCATCGCTCTTATCGATCTTTCACTTCTTCTTTCTTCCTTCATCTCCTTAGTCTCTCTTTCAGGAAGGACCATGATCCAGTGCAGCCCATGAAAGCTCAATATGGAGAAATTCTTGCTTCTCTTCACCCTCTACTAAGATTTAGGTGTAATTTACTGACTATGTGGCTTCTCTCTCTGCCAGAGAGGGATGGACAAACCAGGCATTATGATGGCTACCTTAGATGATGAGCAGCAGAATAAAATATCTGAGGATGAGACAAATCTCTTTTGGAATGAGAGGAAAGGTGAGAAATGAATGGATGTTAGTAAAAGAATAAGAAGAAGAACTCTCAAAGACAGGAAGAAGAGAAAGTACAGACGGACAAATTGTAAAGCAATATTTTAAACATTTACTCTTTATTAACTAGACAATGAGACTTTCTTCAGCCAAGTGCTCGTATAAAATCACCACATTCTGAGAAATAAACCAAACATATTCCTTTTACAGATATTACCACAAAAGAAGAAATTTGG